TACTTTGGTTCCAGCGATAAAAGTCCTTAAAAAGAAAATGAGTGTATATATAATTGTTGAAAAGAGGATGAATCTCATGAAAAACTATTGAGATAGTTAATAATATGATCAGATATCTGAATGAAATCACTGATAATGATAAAGAGATCTCGGTTAACCATGTCACTAAGAAAAAGATGGATTTAACGATAAAATAATTATCGGCATATAAAATGATATAGCGTGCGATATAATTCATGAAGATCAAAAATCTCCATTTTGTGGATGAGTATAGAAAGATCATTATTACTAGATAAAATCAAAGAATGATAATTATTGGAACTTCTAAAGAGTTTTTAAATGCTGTATAATATTTTATCAAAATTATATTGTAATTAAAAGCTTTGGAAGGACAATATTGTTCTCACGTGTTACAAAAATTAAACAAAGTATAAAAGAGGTGTTATTTTAAAATGTCCTTGAAGGATATTACACTTAAGCATTTGTTAAGAAAATGCTAACTAGCCTTGAATTACTTTATATGAGCAATATTTGTGAGTTTATGTATCTTGCAAATTTTATTTGACCAATATAGTTTTTGCTAGTAATATACTTACATATACAGCCCATCTTCTATACACAGATATTAAAACAGAATAAAATATATATTTCATTATTTCGAAGGTATAAATTATTTTCTGTTTATTTTATTAAAGAAATTTCGAGTTTGGTGTAGTTAGTTTTGTAGATTCAGATTATCTAACGGATCTACATAAAGCTCAATCAACCCGGTCACAATTTCACAATTAGATCATCTAGAGAATATATGTAGTTGAGATCATTGACTAATCACATCCAAGAATTAAGTGGAATAGTTATCAACAAGAAGCCAACATAAAAATTTGAAGATAATGCAGCATGAATTGCACAATTCAAAGAAAGCTCTATCAAGAACAATAGAATAAATTTTACACATCTAAGATTTTTCTCTTACACCCAAAAGCTCGAGAAGAATCGAGAAGTAATTGTTCAATATGTTTGCTCAAGTTACAACGCAGCAGATCAATTCATAAAGCCGCTTCCAACATCTACGGAATCTATGAAGAGAAGATGATATCTATCATTTTCAGGGAGAGCTAACGTCGCTGTACTCTTTTTTCTTTTATCATGGTTTTTATCCCATTGAGTGTTTTTATGGAAATATTTTTCAACGAGGCAATATGTAGCAAATTAATGATGATGAATACTCAAAGGAGAGTGTTAGAAAATATATGCTTATTCATCTCTTGTGACATGTTTTCTTGACACTTATCATCTTAATTTATTAGTCATCATATTATGTAATTGATCATCACTTAGATGTTATGTTTAGAATGCTTTGTACTTTTTTATAAATAGCATGTAACATAATGTACAATCACAAGTAAATAACAAGAAATTCTCTCAGTAAAAACTATTGTCTATTTTTACATACTTCTCCTTCTCTAAATTCATTTTACTAATTTCTACATAATATATTGTTCATTATATAAAATATTATTTCACAACAGTATTCATATATAATAAAATGTTTCTAACTATGCTAACTAATGGCCAAAGATCAGCTGTTCTGAGTTCTGACCATATCATGTCGCGTTAAAAATGCCAGTTGTCTTGCATGTTCATGGAATATAATATGTCAACAATGAAAATTGATATGAAGCCAAGGAAAGGAGCTTAGTGTTCCCGTAAAGCTTGTAAGTTATCACTAATTCAATTTACAAAAACTTTAATTCAAGTTTATAAAGGTACATGCATTGCACATGAATCTTTAAATAATACTAGGCTTTTAACTTGCTACGAGTCTGTATTAATAATTTGGTTTAATTTTTTGGTTAATATCTTTTAAATTATCAAAAATATAATATATTTATAGAAATTTTCTTTTATATAAAAAAACTAAAACATAATATGTAGTATTTCTTATTTTTGTTTATAAAATTATAAATCTTACTAAGTAAAATCATAGTAATGACACCTTACGAATTATCCAACTTCAATGTGCATATGTTTGATTTAGAAAATGATTTCCTTACTAAATTTTTGGTGTTTTCTTTTGTATCCTTAGGATTTCTATGGTTTTTAAAAAAAAAAAGGTTTATATGTTTAAATATTTAGTTTCTAAATGCCTCACTAATGTTGTGTACATATACATATATAATATATGATATATGTTGGTTCAGATTTACTTTTGTTAGTAAGCTACACTAATCGTGTATAGCTGCTTTTTGCTTCTCCACCAGATCTTTTACGAATTTTAAGTTATATCCCTATTCAGTTTATAAGATATGTTTTATTTGCAGTAAACTATTTGCTAATATTTGTTTTAAAACATATAAGATGATGTTAAGACTTTACTTTATCACTGTTTTTTTTATCTTTTGTGTGTTTATTCATGTTTTGATTTGAATATTTTATCTTTATATATTCCCATTTGAATTTGATTCATAACTTTTTAATATTATATTATTTAAATAAAATTTTAGAGGATGTTGTTCATGTGTTGTTCATGTTGACTAAATTATAAGCAGTAAATATGTATACAAATCAGACTTTATTACTTATTATATTTTGAATGTAAAGTTACTTGTGTAGTATTTTACATTGTTAATTTTCCAAGCACACTCAACCAAGGTATTAATCTTTGTAAATTTAAAAAATATGTTTGATTTAGAAACTTGTATAACCTATTAAAATTTTATATGGTTATTCATAGTCAACACCAATATTTTAGAAATCATGAATATTTTTGGAACTATATTTCAAACTAATTTGCTTCTTATATCTTGTTTTTTGTTATTTTAAATATCTTCGATGGCAATTTTATATTTTATTTTAATTATCTAATTTTCTGCAGATTTGATATACTTAAAACATATATATTTTTAATTAATCTCTTTTGTTATTGCTTTTCAAATAAGTAGCATATATATTAATCTAATATCTTTTACATAAATACTTTTTATTTGTTAAATTTACTTTTAAAATTAATTAAATATTATTTTGACATGCTATAACTGGTTATTCTAAATTTAAGTGAACTTCTCTTAAAAGCTTATATCATCATTTGATTTTTTTAGTTGATATTTGTTTGGTAGTTAGCCTAAATATCAAGCTAATTTTACTTTACGACTTTTTCCTTTTATAATTTACCTCTCTTGATATTGATTTTTATTTTATTTGAACACATCAATATTTTAAAAACATAAATTTTTTGTTAGTTAAATATTTTTATATGAATTTTTGAAATAGTTAGTCAGATATCAAGTCAATATATTTTAAGTGTTTTTTACAAAAATAATATTTTGTAAAACTTAATTTTCGTGTTAATTAATTTTTTAATATTTATTTCTTAAATAATTAGCTTAAATATTTATATTATTTTTGTTAGTTAAGTTTTTTAGTATTATTTAAGTTTTTTTATTCTCTTACTTATTCTGTTTATAATGATTTTGTTAAATAAATAACATAGATATTAAGTTAATATCCTCTTTTTTTGTTAATTTTACTTTCTTGATATGGACTTTCATTTTAATTGTATTGACATGTTGTAAGAAATAATTTATGTTTTGGTTTTTGTTAGTTAAACATATAATATATTGCTTTCTTCAGTAATTAGTATAAAGTATCATTTTTGGTTTGTTAAGATTTTTGTGTTAATGTTTTAAATATTTCCCCAAAAATTATAAGTTTTAGATGATTTTTTTTTTTTGATAATTTAAGATGAATATTTTTTTTGGAAGTATTGGTATTTTTAAATAACAATTTTATATGTTTATATGAAAATTTAATCTTAATATTTTTTCATAATCTATTTATATGTTAAATTACCTTTTTTATTGTTAATAGAAAAATAAGATATATTTTCAAAACTCTTTTTTTATTAATAACTAACTTAAAATTTAGAAACTTTCCTAATAACAACAAAAACAAAATTAATTAAAATTTAAAAATTTTCCTTATAACAATTAAAACGAATTAATTAATTTTAAAATATAATATATAATTAACTAAAAATAATGATGATGTGTACCAATAGAATTGAATCTTTAAATCCTATGTGGATACTATTAGAGGTATTTAGCATCAATATTTATTAGTAATAGATTTTAATATTAATATATAATAAATATCATCTCCTCGGTTTCAATATATAAATTGTTTAAAGTATTTATAAAAAATATTAAGAAAAATAGTTTTTGTTTAAAATATACTTTTTCCATTTCAAAAAATTTAATGTTTTGGCTTGTTTACACAAATCAAAAATAGTTATTTTTTAGTTGTTAATGCATTACATTTTTACAATCATTATTCTTTAATAATTTTTAACTAATAATAATTTAAGAATTTGAATAATTTTAGTTATTTTTCTTGAAATTTACAAAAAAATATTTACTACTCTAAAACATCAATTTTTATAATATATTTGGTTACACATAATTTAATAAAGCTAAAAATAATATTAACATGTGCAAACAACTTAGATTATAAAACAAAATAAAATCTCCAAAACAATTTTTATTATAAAACAGATAGAATATTATTGATAATGAGAATCTCTAAAAAAAAGTGAGAAACTCATCTCAAAGTCTCTTATTTAAAAGACTATAGAGTAAGCTTCTTACTTTTTGAGAAACTCTCGTTATAAAATAATAATATTTATTAGTTTATAATTTATAAAAATTCATCTAAAAATCTGCATTGGTCTACTAAAGTGTCTCTCTCTTTTCTGAACTGTAAAAAGAAAAATCTGCAAACATAAAACTCTTCTTTCACAAAGAGATGTGCTATTATATATTAACTATTCACACAACCAAGACTTTAAGAAACACAAAGACTATTACGTAAATAAAATCTAGTTTACACTTTATGGTTAGTCTAGTTTTCGGTTAGAGTAAGCAGTCTTGACACTTATTAAGACTGCTTAATCTAACCAAAACTACATTGTTCACAATCCCCAAAATGTTTCTTTCTACATACCATAACAGATACGATGAGTTCACTAACCTAAATGCTCCTGCGTACAAGATTAACAGCAAATGTATTAATGAAAATACATAACATAAAATCTTCTTTTGTGGTCAAAATAGTGCTAAATATAAGTGGATCTCTACTCTAATGGTTTATTACTATTACAATCATGACTTCAGAGATTTAGATCAGGATGACTTTGGTAACAATCACATCTCCTTGCACTACCTCCTTTGTTCTGAACATGTGTGACAACACTTCTGATATGTATTGTTCTCAGAAGTGTCAAACATTTGCTATTAAACATGTTCATTTCCTCTACATAACAAGCAAAACGAAAAACCAAGCTAAGAAACCTATACCTATAACAAGAGTAGTACTAATGTTGTGAAGTTGTTTAGACAATGATGGAGACGTTGGAGAACGATCAGGCTGTTGCGAAGGAGCTAAGGAAGTTTTCTTTTCAAGAGGGCAATGGAAGTTACAGCGGCTTGGGCGAACGATTCTGTAAACACCAGAGCTTGCAAGCAAGTAAATGTCTTTCTTGTTGTCTTCTCCAAAGGAGAACACAAAACCAAGTGGTGGAGATGAAGATGAAGACGAAGGCTCTATTTCAAATGAGCAAGGGATTGGCGAATCCGAGGAGCATCGTAAGGGAATATGAGAGCTGGTGAAGTTTCCACTACCCACTGGAGTTTCAGCTCCACCGTAAATAACTCCGGCGTATAAGTCTGCAAAGAGATACCTACAAGAACAAAACAAACGTTCTTGATTTACATACAATATTGGTTTTGATAAGTAAAGAGAAGAAGAAGAGAGCGAAACGTACATTCCATACAAGCAAGGATCAGTGGAGGAACGGTAAAAGTATCCTCCGGTTATTGATGCAGAAGATCCTTCTGAATGATTGTACCACATAACCGGTGAGATCGGATTTGAAATCTTTGTTGAGTTGGTGTTCTTAGAAGGATTAAAGAGTAAAGGTCCCTCGTAGTAATGCCAACCGTAGTTCCCTCCCTTAGTGATCATATCAACTTCTTCATACTTGTCCTGCAAAACTCAGAGTCATAACATCAAGAATCTGAAGAGAGAACATAAAAAAAAAAATATTGGTTTCAGGTTTGGTTAGTACCTCTCCAACATCTGCACATAGGAAGTAAGAAGCCCTCTCTGAATCAAAACTGCATCGCCATGGATTTCTAACACCCATGGCCCATATTTCCGGAAGCAGATTCTTATCTTGAGAAAACGGATTGTCTTTTGGTATAGAATAGTTTCCCCATAGCTGAAACTCGCTCATTGACTTTGCATCTGAAAAAACGAAGAGAAAACAAGAACCAAAATCAAATCTTTCATGTTCATAAGTTCATTGTGAGATGCTTCTACTGTATAGTATTACCTGCAACATTATTCACATCGAGTCTCATGATCTTCCCAAGCAATGATTTCTTGTTCTGTGCAAAGTTGTGTGGATCTCCTTTACTTCCTCCATCTCCCATCATGAAATACAAGTACCCATCTTTGGGACCGAACAAGATCTGTCCACCGTGATGCGATGTGAAAGGAAGACCCACTGTAAAGATTCTTCTTACCTCCACAGGTTTAACATAAGTCCCTGAAACATATCAAGAACCTTTCAGCCACATCCAATATAAGGAAGCAAGAACACACAAACGAAGGTAAGACTGTTTAATACCATTGGAAAAAAACTCTGAAATGACACTGTGATACTGACATGGGTTTGCTCCATTATCAGAATCTAGCTTTGCAGGATCACAGTCAACATCTGAGTTGCACGCGCATTTGCCAGAACATTCCGGCCACTTAACTCTATCGCAGTTGAAAGAAACGAAGAATCTACCGTTTTTCGAGAAGTCAGGATGAAAAGCTATTCCCAAGAGACCGAGCTCAGCATCAGAGTGCACTTCTTCAGTAAGATCAAGAAACAGGTTAGTTTCGTCTATTTTCAAGATTTCTCCTGATCCTTCAGCTGGAATTGTCGCCAAGTATGTCTTCCCGGCTTGATCAGACAGAAAGACGCGATTAGTACCATCAGGATGAGGTGCCATGTTAAGATAAGACCCGTTGGCAAGCTTCTCGAGGCATATGCCTGAAGGAGGTGGAACGGTAGCTTTTGAAATGTTAAAAGAAACCGCCTGGCCATTGAAGCACACAGAGGATTCATCTGAAGATCCACCAAAAACATCGCAGAAGTCATTTCTTGATTTCCAGATTTTAGATATAGTGGAAGTGTTGCCTCCATCTCCAGCTTGAGATGCAAAAGGAGTGTTGTTTACAGAGAGATACTGACATTCATTCCAAAATCTGCCGCAGAAATCAGTTTCAGCTAGCGATTGTGTTGACTTATTAGAAGAAACTGTGGAATTGCACAGCACAGGAACTTGTCTAGATTCTGACTCAGCACGGAAAAGCTCTGCTGCGAAAGGATCACACGTCTGCAACCAACCAGATAAGTTAAACATTAACTTATAACTAGAGAGGTTTTATAACAGAACCATCATCAATCACATAATGTTTCACCATTACTTACCGAGCAAAGTAATGATTTGAGAAGCGGAGAACAGCTCTCAGATACATTGACTGCTTGAAACTGTCTCTGCAACTCCAAGTCCTCCTTGGAGTTACAGCATACACTTCCATTGAATTGACAAAAAGCGAGCGGTTGCTTCGGATTAAACGGCGCAGCTAAACCAGAGAACTCCAAAAAATCAGAAAAAGAAATGGCACAACAAAACACAAAGTTACCAATCTAAAATCTCAGGAGGAAAAGAAAAACGAAAAAGACACCTACTCAAATCATTACATAGTGGATGTGACAAAGATTCTGTGGCAAGAAACAACACAAGTGAAGAAAGCAAGACTGCTACTGAACAGAGAGAAGACATTTTCTTTAACAACTAAGAATTGATTGTTTTGATTCTGCAGAAATGTTTTTTAGGATCTACTCCAAAGCATGACATAACCGATGATGGATTGAATTGAAACAATAGCTCATAAAGTTCTTTCAACAGATTCCACAGAAATGGAAATCTCACCAAGAAATCTAAAGAGAAGACCAAAGATCAAGGCAAGAACTCATAAAACTCTTATATCTTATAAATACAAATGGAGATTTTTCAGTTGACAACTAGCAGAATCTTTTATTAAATCTAATATGCAAATTGGTTTACGCTAATAATCTATTATAAAAATGAATTATTGGTGTTGTTGACTCTAAAAAGATAACCTTTGAATTTACAGAACTCTGATTCTTTCTCCAAGTCGTAAAAACTAAGAACAGAACATTATCACCCTTTGAAACATTGTTATTTCTGTGAGGTAAAAACTGCGTTATACTGATCATATCTCTCTCTACGTATTGTCTTCGCAACTACACAGCCAAAACTCTTAATTCAAATTCTCCTTCATTTCAAAACCAATTCAGATAATCCAAAATTTCAAACCCAAATCATATATTAACAGAATTTATCAAAACCCAGGTGAAAGTTTTCAGCTTTTCAGTGGACTTGCCTTGTTCGATTTTGTTTCGTAAAAATGATCTCGCAAAAGGAGAGACTAGAGAGCAATGGTGGAGAGAGAGAGAGAGAAAGAGATTGCGAGAGAAGAGAAACGACGCGTTTTAGTGTTTGGTCACGTGGAAGGAAACGGTGTCGTTTTTTTTTGTTTTAAGTTAATAGTAAGAAAAAGGAAATCCCAAACAAAAAAGGAAATAGAATGAAAAAACAAAAAGGAAATTTTTGTAACTTTAATCTTAACCGTTGATACTGAGCATCTATGAACCAGAGAGCTCTCATCCAAAAAGTTGTACTGTGTGTTCGTTTACTCCAGTTACAACAAAAAAACTGAGGATTTCTTATTATTTTTTTCTGATTCGAAAGTATTCGTTAGGGTTCAAGAATGACTCACAGTTTCCCAAAGGGATTACCTTCCTTCTACATCAACGTATACAAGATTTTGGATGATCCTTCCCTGGATTCAATTGTTTCTTGGAGTGAAAGCAACAACACTTTCATCTTTTGGGATCACAAACGGCTTTGCAAAGAGATTCTCCCGAAATACGCAGGACTGGGCAGAAACTACGCGCACTTTATCTCAGAGCTTCAGGATCATGGCTTTAAAGTCATTGGTACGACAGGAAAATTGGAGTTTAGACACGATAATTTCGTGAGAGGGAAACCTCATCTCATGAAGAAGATGGCGTTACAAGCTTGGAGGCCACGAATTGAGAAAATTGGAGCTAAAACCAAAGCAAAGTTTGCTCAAACTAAAGCAAAGATTGCTCGAGCCATCTTTTTCACAAACGTAACATGTTTTTTGTAACCTATTGTTTTTACGTTTGGTAATAAATCAACCTGCGGTTTGTTTGAAAGAGATTCCACTGTCTCTCATGCAACTCTTACTTTTTGACTTATAATGGCTCATACTTTTTTACTAATTAGCTTTTGTTTATGCGTCTCTTCGTAGTGGCAGTTTGTTACTATAAGAAAATGATATAATTAGCTCTGTTCTTTTTCTTAACGCTGCGTTAGCGTTAGCGGTAAGAAAAATACAAAGGAAATCCAGCAAATATGACGCCCGTGGTGATGGATGAAAACGCAGCGACAACAGACAACGGCATGCAACTTGATTCAACTTGACGCCGGAAAATCTAAGCGTCACCAACAACTCTATTTTCAGACGCGGTGTCTCCTTTTCTGAATTTCGCTTTCGATTTGCCACATGTTAATTTTAAAGTTTCTGAAGCTTAGATTTTTGGTCGCTGCCGCAAGTCATTTGATCACACTTCCAAGAACAGCTCCCAGATATACATTGACTGCTTGAAATCTATTGTCTCGGGAGGAAAAGAAAAACAAAGAGACAGCTACTGAAATAATTACATAACGGATGTGAGAAAGAATCTTTGGCAAGAAATCAAAAACTGCTACTGAACAGAGAAAAACAAAGAGACAGCTACTGAAATAATTGATTGTTTTGAGTCTTCAGCATAAAATAACAGATGATAGGTAGCTAAGTTATGTTGAGAATTAACAAAAAGGCAAGAAAAAAAAACTCATTTTCCAAGATTGAAAGGAAATAAATTAACTTGTTTTTATTAAACTAATAGAGGGCGAAAAATCTAATCTAAAAAGAAATACATTACAAAATACAGAAAAATCGTATTTTAAATCTTGAAGGTGGCAATAGTTAGGATTTTAAACCTCAGAATATAACCCTAACACTTTTAACTCTTAAATTAATTTTACTAATACATTAAACCGTAACATCGTCTGTGAATTGTTCTGTCCGCAGAGTTAATTGTTCTGTTTAAAATTCTGATAGATCCTAGCCAGATGTTACTTTGACGGTTTAATGTGTTAATAAAATTAATTTTAGGGTTTCCAGCAGATCATAGCCAAATGTTATTTGACGATTTAATGTGTTAGTAAAGTTAATTTTAGGGCTTAAAGTGTTACGGCTATATACTTCTGAGATTTAAAGTGCTAACTTTTGTCACTTTAATGAGATTTTCCCGTTAAAATACATGAATGAGGCCGGAAATATGGAACAGAGTTTACAAAAACAAATGATATGTGTTTTGAGTATCTTTTGCGTTACTTTAAACCGTTTGTCAATTTTCCAGGAGATGGTATGTTCATTACGTCTCGATCTTTCTTTAGTTCCAAGAGCGTTACAATAGTTTTACTACTGATTATTCGCAGATTGAGTCCTTGGAGCTACTCTCTTCTAGCAATAACGATTCTAGCTCATTTGGGTTTACAAGTTTGCAGATCAGGACACACATTCACTCTGTTTTCTTTCTGTTTATCAGATTGTAGCATTGCATATCGTTCATTACCAAACCTTTTGTCTCTAGTAAGCTTTCTAAGTTCCACATTGGTCTCTGTTTGCAGGCGATGTGAAAGACCAACGATATTCCAGAGCAGGTACCAAAAAAACGACTCAACACTCAGCGTTGTGCTTCCCTTTTCTTTTGCACTACTAATTCAAATTACAAATAGAGCTTTGTCCATTATCAGTACAGCCTGAAACTTAAAGATACAAGTAAGCATTAACCGATCCAGTTCGTCTGAATCCAGTTCCTTGAAGAATAAAACAGTGCCGTTTAAGTTTTAAGTTGTGCTTCTTTTTAGTTGAATAAGTCCTCCGATAATGTAGGAGATGATGTAGAAGTTGTTGTTTCAGTTTCGTATGATTCGGTCAATTCGTTGTAAGGTCTATTATAAAGACCTCGTTTTCTTTCCTTATCAAAAAAACGCGAAGTATTCAGTCTGCAATCTTTTCCTCTGTTTTTCTGTTCTGAATCGCTTCGCAAAGATAACAAAGTGGTATCAGAGCTTGTCTAGAGCCTGGTACGAGAAAATGAGTGAGAGAGATACACTGGTGATACCGAGATACGAGCATTGGGCAATGCTCATGGAAAACCTGTTAAGATCCAAGGAGTGGTGGGATCTCATAGAGATGGGGATCGTGAGACCAGAAAGAAACATAATCCTGACGGGAGCTCAAAGAACGGAGTTGGCAGAGCTGACCGTCAAAGATCATAAGGTGAAAAACTATCTGTTTGCATCCATTGACAAGACAATCCTGAAGACAATATTGAAGAAGGAGACGTCTAAGGATCTGTGGGAGTCAATGAAGAGAAAGTATCAAGGAAACAATCTGGTTCAAAGTGCTCAGTTACAGAGACTGAGAAGGAACTTCGAAGTTCTCGAGATAAAGATAGGAGAAACAATTACGGAGTACTTCTCGAGAGTGATGGAGGTGACTAATGATATGAGAAACCTTAGAGAAGATATGCCAGATGTGAAGGTAGTTGACTAATGATATGAGAAACCTTAGAGAAGATATGCCAGATGTGAAGGTAGTTGAGAAGATCCTGAGAACGTTGGTGGAGAAATTCACATATGTGGTATGTGCAATTGAAGAGTCCAATGACATCAAAGAGCTAACGGTAGATGGATTGCAAAGCTCTTTGATGGTTCATGAGCAGAAGTTAAGCAGACATGATGGTGAAGAACATGCGCTGAAGGCAGAAGCTCAATGGAGATATGATGGGGGCAGAGGCCGTGGAAGGTTCTCACCAAGAGAAGGAGGATATCAGGGAAGAGGACGTGGCAGTAGCAACTTCAACAAAGACATGGTTGAATGCTATAAATGTCACAAGAAGGGACACTTTAAATTGGAGTGCCCAGATTGGGAAAAGGAGGCCAATTACGCAGAGATGGAGGAAGATATGCTGCTGATGGCACATGTTGATGATGTCAAAGGAGAGGAAGAACATGTTTGGTTCCTGGATTCAGGGTGCAGCAACCATATGTGTGGAAACAAAGACTAGTTTATCGAGATTGACAACCAGTTTCGAGCAAATGTAAGGCTTGGCGATGACAGAAAAATGGTGGTGGAAGGCAGAGGTAACCTTCGATTGGAGATCAATGGAGTGATCTCAATCATCACGTCAGTCTACTATGTTCCGAGCTTAAAGAACAATTTGCTTAGTGTGGGACAACTGCAAGAGAAAGGGCTTAGAATCATAATTGAAGATGGTGTTTGTGAAGTATGGAGCAAGAAACTAAAGAGACTGGTTATGCAATCTGCAATGACAAATAATCGAATGTTTGTCATACGAGCAAAGGTGAAGAGCTCAAAGGAGAATGCAGAAAGCAATTGCCTGCAAGCTATGGAGAAACCGGAGCAGCTCTGGCATAAGCGGTTTGGTCACTTAAACCACAGAGGATTAAGATCACTAGCAGAGAAGAACATGGTGATTGGCTTACCAAACCTCACTCAAGAAGAATCAGAAGGAGCAGTCTGCGAGGTATGTATGAAAGGGAAACAGAATCGTGAAAACATTCCCAAGACGAGTATGTAGAGATCAACGAGAGGTCTGCAACTCGTCCACAGTGGCATATGTGGACCCATTACTCCAACATCTGAGAGTGGTAAGAAGTATATAATCAATTTCATTGATGATTATACAAGAAAGTGCTGGACATACTTTCTGTCTCAGAAATCCGATGCTTTCAACATATTCAAGGAGTTCAGAGCAGTAGTGGAAAGAGA